CCTATCAATTTGAGCGTAGTTACGCTCAGCAGAAGAAAGAGTCCTGGAGTAATAAGCAACTGGAACCTGAGTTCCATCAGCCTTCAAATGACTCAAAACAGCACCCACCCCATAAGGGGAAGCATCACAAGCGATGCAAACAGGAAGTCTCTCGTCAAAATGAGCAAGCACATTATTGGACGTGAGCAAGGCCTTGACCACAGCAAAACTCTGATCATGAGCCTTGGTCCACTGCCAGACTGCCTGTTTGTCCAATAGTCTATGTAAAGGCTCAGCCACAGCAGCCTTGTGAGGAAGGAAGGCATTATAGAAATTCAAAAGGCCTAAAAAAGCTTGCAATTCGCCTTTTGACTTGGGACGGGGAGCCTCCTGGATGGCCTTCAGCTTTGATTCAGCAGGGTGAATGCCTTGCACATCTATTCTGAATCCCAAAAAGTCAGTGGACGTGACTCCTATCTTGCATTTGTTCCTTTTAAGCTTTAACCCTGCCTTCCTAAACCACAGCAGAACAGCCCTCAGTCGTTCTGCCAGATTATGCACAGAATCCCCAGCAATGAGAACATCATTGAAATAAGGGCAAACCCCAGGAATGCCCCTTAATGTGTTTTCCATCACACTCTGGAAAATACCGGGTGCTACATTTACTCCAAACTGGAGCCTCTTCACCTTGAAGGCACCCCTATGTGTCACAATGGTCTGTGCCTCTGCAGCTGCTTCATCAACAGGTAACTGTTGGTACACTTGAACCAAATCTAGCTTTGCAAAAAACTTCCCTCCTTTAAGAGAAGCCAGAATATGCCCCACTACAGGAACAGGATAAGCGTGCTGCTGTAGTGCCTTATTTATAGTGCATTTATAATCAGCACAAATACATATGTCCCCATTAGCTTTAAGAGGCATAACAATGGGGGTTTCCCACGTACTCGAGTCTACAGGTTCTAAAATGCCTTGTTGGATTAGCTTATCCAATTCAGCATCCATTTTTCCTTTCAAAGCGAAAGGCACTCTCCTGGCCTTAACTCGAATGGGTGTGATGTTGGGGTCAAGTTTCAATGAAACAGGAGGCCCTTGGTAAGATCCAAGCTGTGAACTAAACACATCTGCAAACTCCTCACATACTGTTGTAAGGCTTAATGTTTGCAGGCTGTGCAAGCCAGTGACTTGAATTCCCAAGGCCTCGAACCAATCAAGTCCTATCAGACTCGTTCTTTCACCCCCAACAACCAGAACATCCAAAGGACCCACAAAACTCTTATACTGTACAGAAAGGGTGGCCTCCCCCTTAATGCACACTCTAGAGTTTTGGAAATCAGTTAGTACGATATTGGAAGGCCTTAGCCTCACCTGAACTCC